TCCTCCTGTTTGTCCTCAAGGACGTCCGTGCCAAGAGCACACTCACCCCCGACGGACGGAGGACAGACAGACGCAGACTCAGACTCAGCAACAAGGCTAGCAGCGTAGTCTAGACGACAGGCAGCAGCAAAGTCAACCAACTCAGCGACCAGAGCAGACACAGCAGAGGACTCAAAGGTAGGGTCAGTGACAACAGTAGCGAGGAGACGCGTAACAGTAGGGTGCTCAGCACGATACCGGTCAGACTCAGGGTCCGGAACGTCAGGCAAAGAGGACGCAGGAGGAGACGGTAGAGGGACATGCTGAGGAGCAGTAGAGGGACGCAGAGTCATGTAGTGAGTGCCTGGGACAGGAGGAGGACGCTCACGACGGACACGACTACCAGTGCGAGCAGGACGAACAGGCGACGCAGGACGAGACTCAGGCTCACGACGCTCTGTAAGACCTCCTGTGGGACCAGTATAAGGAGAGGGAGCAGGGAGAGGCGAGGTAGGCGGTAACTGTGACTGCGGCTGGACAGGCGGAGGACACTCTACGGAGGGAGGAGGACAAGGAGGAGGAGCCTGCCCAAGAACCTGCTGAAGGAGCGGTACGAAGTACGGTCGCGGCCGCGCAGCGTCTCCAGAAGCAGAGGAGACTCCAGCGGCCGGGTCCTCAGTACCAGTAGGAGCTCCAGCGTCCGGGTCCACAGCACCAGCAGCAGCTCCACCGGCCGGGTCCTCAGCACCAGTAGTAGCTCCAACGCCCGGGTCCTCAGCAGCAGCAGCAGCGCCACCGCTCAGGTCCTCAGCTCCAGCAGCAGCTCCACCGTCCGAGTCCTCAGCACCAGCAGCAGCTCCACCGTCCGGGTCCTCAGCACCAGCAGCAGCGCCACCGCCCGGGTCCTCAGCTCCAGCAGCAGCTCCAACGTCCAAGTCCTCAGCACCAGCAGTAGCTCCACCAGGCGGGTCCGCAGCACCAGCAGCAGCTCCAACGTCCGGGTCCTCAGCACCAGCAGCAGCGCCACCCCCAGGGTCCGCAGCACCAGGAGCACCACTCCGAAGACTGCAGCGCCGTGTGTACCACTCGCGGATCTGCTGAATGGGGGGGAGCTCCTGGGTAGGAGGGGAAGTACCGGGACGAGCTCCAGCAGCACCTCTCCGGAGGCGGCAGTACTCGAGGTACCTCTCCTGCAGCTGCTGGGAGGAGAGGGCTCCTCCAGGTGTAGCACGCTCAGGCTCAGCACCCCCAGACTCAGCACCCCCAGACTCAGCACCCCCAGGCTCAGCACCTCCAGGCTCCGCACCTCCAGGCTCCGCACCTCCTGGCTCAGCACCCCCAGGCTCCGCACCCCCAGACTCAGCACTCCCAGGCTCAGCACCCCCAGGCGCAGCACCCCCAGGCTCAGCACCCCAAGCAGGACGAGAGTCAACAGCTACCTCGACAGGCTCACCCGGGTCTACCTGGGACACACCTGAGGGAGCGGCACCCTGAGGGGGGAGGGGGTCTGGTACCTCAGCACCTGGAGCGAGGAAGAGAGGCGGGGGGGGGAGCGGGGCAGTGCGGTAGGGGAAGAGGCGGTAGTAGGGGACGGACTCGTCAAAAGTGACGTCCTGAGAGGCCAGGACACGACGCGAGGTGGGGTGGTAGAACTGCCAGCCAGGGGCGTCCGGGACAAAGCCAAGGAAGACGCAGGGGACAGCGCGACGGGAGAGCTTGTCCGCGGACGTGTCGCGGACAAAAGCTCGGGATCCCCAGACCCGAAAACGCGACGCATCGCCAGCCTCTCCCGTCCAACGCAATGTCGGAGAAGTCTCAGGCAAGGAGACACGGGGCCAGAGGTTGAGCTGATGCGCAGCGTATCGGACTGCAAACGGCCACAGAAAGTGGGGGGCAGCCGCATGAACCAAGGAGGTACGAGCGACCTCCATGACCAAGCCAATGCGGCGCTCAGCAACCCCATTCTGCTGTGGAGAGGCCGGAAGCGTGAACAACTGCTCAATGCCCTCCTGCTGACAGAAGGCCTCCAAGAGGCCAGAGGAAAACTCTCCACCTCTGTCAGAGTGCAGACGCAGGACAGGGAAGTCGGAGCGGAAACGCTCACTAAGCTGGAGACGAGATCTGCGGATCCAAGGGATCAAGACATCAGGGACGTCACCCTTGGTGCGCAAGGGGAAGACCGTGGTGTAGCGCGAGAAGTCGTCAACAACAATCAGGAAGTACCTCTCCTGACCCTGACCACGGACGCGGGCTGGGCCCCACACGTCCATGTGGAGTGTCTGCAAGGGAGCAGTCGTCGGGGGAAAGGAGGAGGAGTGAGGAGCGGCGCGCTGCCGCCCCTCGACACAGGGAAGACAGGGAGGAGCAGGTGAGTCGGGAAGGGGAGGGAGCACCCTGGGAAGACCAGCAACAAGGTCCCGTTTGTGCATGGCCCGAAGGCGCTGCACAGACGGGTGACCAAGGCGGTGGTGCCAAAGGACAGTCTCATGCGCCAGAGAGCGACACGAGCAGGGAGCGGACAGCTGACCTGACGCAGACGCAGACGTAGACGCAGACGCAGCTACTTGAGGGGACTCAGTGGTCAGTGTGTACAGGTCCGACCCTGGCTCTCGAGTGAAAGTAGCCAGGTGGCGACCCGTCCGAGCACACGTGCAGTGTGTCACGCGCTCGTAGGCAGGGGTGAACTGGTGAACACCCGAGTCCTGGAGCGCACAACCCGCCACCAAGTTCGTAGAGAACGAGGGGAGGTAGAGACCTGACAGCGTGCCGGACGGGACCGCAGGACAAGGAAGGACAGTGGAGGAGGTCGCAATGACCGGACCCCCAGAGGGGTCAGCAAGGGAGACAGCAACTGGTCGAGCGAGTGGCTCAAGGACAGTGCGGTCACGAAAGAAAGAGCGAGAAGCACCTGAGTCCAGGGTGAAGGTGTGCAGTGCTGCAGTCGACTCAGTACCAGGGGGCACAGACGCACTAGCACCTAGGGCGGCAGCCTCACCATCACCTGGGGTAGCAGACACGCGAGCACCTGGAGCAGCAGACGCACTAGCACCTAGAGTAGTAGGCTCACCAGCACCTGGAGTAGCAGACACGCGAGTACCGGGAGTGGTAGCCTCACCTGCACCGAGGGCAACAGACGTACTGGCACCGAGAGCGGCTGCCTCGACACTTACAGAGCGACTACCACTATGGCCACCCCGACTGCTCAAACCTGTGTCCCACTCACGAGCCTGCTGGAGTAGAAGAGGGCACGGCTGCTGCACCTGTCCACTACCTGAGGCTCCCGAACGACGGACGCCAGAGCGACTACCACTACGGCCACCCCGACTGCTCAAACCGGCGTACCACTCACGAGCCTGCTGGACCAGAAGAGGGCACGGCTGCTGCACCTGTCCACTACCAGGGGCTCCCGAACGACGCACGTCAGAGCGACTACCACGCCGGCCACCCCGACTGCCCAAACCGGCGTACCACTCACGAGCCTGCTGGAGCAGAAGAGGGCACGTCTGCTGCACCGGTCTACTACCAGAGGCTCCCGAACGACGCACTCCAGAGCGACTACCACTACGGCCACCCCGACTGCCCAAGCCGGCGTACCACTCACGAGCCTGCTGGAGCTGCATCTGGCCACGTCAGGAGCAGCAGCAGTAGCGGCAGCAACAGCAGGAGCAGTAAAGGCAGTAGCAGCAGCAGTAACGGTAGCAGTGCTAGCACGGCAAAGCTCACCAGTGGTTGGTGCGGCGGGCGCAAGACAGTGGCGACAGCGTGGCCGCTGCAACAGCGGGGCGGGGCCAGGTCGTAGCAGGGAGCTCCGCGGCAGCTGCTGCAGGGTCTGTGGCGGCCGCTGCTGTAGGCTCGGCGGCGGCAGCTGCTGCAGGTCGAGCGGCGGCTGCTGCTGTAGGGTCGGCGGCGGCCGCTGCTGTAGGCTCGGCGGCGGCTGCTGCTGCAGGGTCGGTGGCGGCTGCTGCTGCAGGCTCGGCTGCTGGAAGCCGGCGTACCACTCACGAGCAGCAACAGCGGGGCGGGGCCAGGTCGTAGCAGGGAGCTCCGCGGCAGCTGCTGCAGGGTCTGTGGCGGCCGCTGCTGTAGGCTCGGCGGCGGCAGCTGCTGCAGGTCGAGCGGCGGCTGCTGCTGTAGGGTCGGCGGCGGCCGCTGCTGTAGGCTCGGCGGCGGCTGCTGCTGCAGGGTCGGCGGCGGCTGCTGCTGCAGGGTCTGTGGCGGCCGCTGCTGTAGGCTCGGCGGCGGCAGCTGCTGCAGGTCGAGCGGCGGCTGCTGCTGTAGGGTCGGCGGCGGCCGCTGCTGTAGGCTCGGCGGCGGCAGCTGCTGCAGGTCGAGCGGCGGCTGCTGCTGTAGGGTCGGCGGCGGCCGCTGCTGTAGGGTCGTCGGCGGCTGCTGCTGCAGGGTCGGTGGCGGCTGCTGCTGCAGGTTGGTGGCGGCAGCTGCTGCAGACGAAGTCGAAGCCGCGAAGGGGCGGCTGAGGGATCGCGCGCGGGCGGCTAGCGGGTCACGCGCGCGAAGAATCGGCCGCGCGCGGGCGGCTAGCGAGGCGCGCGCGCGAAAAATCGGCCGCGCACGGGCGGCTAGCGAGTCGCGCGCGTTAAAAACGAGCCGCGCGCGGGTGGCTAGCGGGCTGCGTGCGCGCGGTAGGTAGAGGCGCACGAGGGCGCTAAGGCGCACGAGGGCGCGCGGTAGGTAGGGGCGCACGAGGGCGCGAAGGCGCACGAGGGCGCTCGGTAGTGAGAGGCGCACGAGGGCGCACGAGGGCGCACGAGGGCGCACGAGGGCGCACGATAGGTAGGTAGGTAGGTAGGTAGCGGTGGGCCCTAGGAGCGGTCCTAGCAAAGGACCTGCTCTGATACCATGTCAGAATGAACAGGCAGGAATGGGTGAACTAGCAGCATGCAGGAGTACAAGTAGTAAACCCTAATTTGGGTTGTACCCCATATGGGCTACCCCACTACAGCCTAGACAGTATGCAGCACATATGTTTGACAGCGACCGCTACGAGAATCAGGCGATTGGAGATGAGGGGACCGTCCGCGGTGGCGCTCAACCACCGCGCCACGCAACACCGCCGACTCCGCGCGCTCCACCTCTTTTGGAGGCGACGAACCAGCGCCGCGTTGAGCCTCAAAGCGGCGGCGAATCTCTTCGGCAGCAGCAGAGGGACGGACCGGGACGCTTACAGCAGGACGTGGCGGCGGAGCAGGCGCGCTCTCCGCGGTACTCTCCTTTTCGGCAACGGCAGGCGGACGCTCCATCAAGGGGAGTTCAGACGACACCCCGGACACGCGCGATGGCGGCGTCAAGGCCACCACGAAATCCGAGGGCAGTTAGAGGCGGACGGCGAGGGAGTTCTGTGGCGGCTGCGCCCAGCCCGCTAAGAGGCGAGGGTCGCGCCGGGAATCGCGGGCGAGGCAGAGGAGCAAGTGGAGGAGGTCCTGAGAACGTCTACCAAGCGGCGGGTAGAAGGGCTTTAAGCGACATTGGAAGAACTAATGTGGAAGCTGAAGTATCAGGAAGTATTTATGAAGGGGACGAGGAGTCAACCGACTCAACTTCAAGTTCGAATGCTGCTGGGGAGATTCAGTCACAAACCCCAGCCCAGCGTGGTGGTGGCTCAACACATGCCCGAGCCGCGACAAGAAATTCTGGGGGCACACCAACTCAGCGACGAATTCCAAACTGAGCCCAAGCCGCACCTGACAACCCACCTGTCACTCCCATCCAATCCGCTCAGCCGAATTTACCTCCAACAGCTGGCAGTGCACATCGAGCCGCCACTGGGGGTAACCAGCCGCGACCCCAACCCCCACCCCAGAGGTCGCCAGAGGCACTCGCCAGAGATGACGCGCTCTTCGCAAATGTCAGTAACTGGGACCTGGAGAAGTTGCGCGACAGTCGCCACGCACCTCTGTCCCGGCGCCTACCTGAGAAGCTTCGCTTACTGTTTGCGATGGTGTTGCTGACACCGCTTCTACGCCTCGCAAGAGACCCTGATTCCCTCCCAGCCTGGACTGTTTTGCTTTTCGCGGCTCGGCTGACACTGGGTCAGCAATCCCCCAAGTTCCCTGATTGGAAGGCGACGAAAAGCCGCCTGCGACAATTCCTCCGTGGGGAATGGGAGGCTCTGTACCAGGCAGCAGTGGACTCACTGGCCAATCCCCCCCCCGCCAAAACACCAACCTGATGAGCTGGGGGCGATATCCAGAGCCGAGGGCCTTGCGCGACGGGGCAGTCTCAGGCGGGCGGTGATGGCTCTGGAAGCCACTCCTGTCAGCTCCCCGTCGCCAGCTGTACTCGATTCACTCCGCGCCAAGCACCCGAGCGCCCGCGACTCCAACTTCCGCTGGCCCCAGCCTGAACCTGACGCTCACCTGTCAGTTACGCTGGAGGCCTTCTTGAAAATCTTGTCGCGTTGTGAGAACGGCGTGGGCGCAGGACCCTCGTGCACTACGTTCGAGCACCTGCGCGAGGCAGCCCTGGTTCACGCTTCAGTAGGCGCCCACCTGCACGCCTTAGTCAACACCGTGCTTAGGGGGAAGCTGCCCTTAGACGTCGGGAACCTACTCACGGCATCACGTCTGATTGCCCTGAGCAAACCTGACGGTGGAACAAGGCCGATTGCCATCGACGAATGCCTGTTACGGTTAGCGGCTAAGGCAGCACTTTCACAAATCGCGGGAGCAGCTAGAGAATACTTCCTGCCTTTGCAGTTCGGAGTAGCAGTTGCTGGCGGGGCTGAGGCCATTATTCACACCGTGCGCGCTTTCACTGCTGCCAACCCGGGCGCGCTGATCCTTCAAGCAGACCTGGCCAACGCCTTTAACAGCGTTGACCGTCAGACAATTGCTGCCGCCCTGAAAGGATCCCAGCTAGAACCGCTACTGCCCCTGGTTCGATTCTCATACGGACAGCCCTCATCTCTGCACCTGGATGCAGCTTTTGAACACGCGCCACTGCGTAGCGAGACGGGGGTACGGCAGGGAGACCCCCTTGGTCCCCTCCTCTTCGCCGCGGCCATGCACCCAGCCTTGAGGGCCGCGGCGGAAGCTTACCCCTCGGTCGTTTGCCTTGCGTACGCCGACGATGTAACGTTTCTGGGGGATCCGGATTTTTGCACCGCTGCCTTCGATCATTTCACAAGCAGCCTGGCTGGACTCGGCCTCACGCACAACCCGGCGAAGTGCGCGGACTGGTCACGCACCACGCCTTTGGAATCCCCCTTACCTGAAGGCGTGCCTCTCAGCAACGATGGACTGAAGGTGCTCGGCAGTTTTATTGGGGACAACACTGCTACTTCAGCCTTCATCCGCAGCAGCCTGGAATCCATGAGCAGCCCACTGAGGCTTATCGAACGGATGGAGCCGCAGCTGGCTGGACTGCTGCTATCCCGCTGCATATCCCGGCGCGTTTCCTACCTGGCTCGCACAACGCCCCTGTCTCACCTGCCTCAGGAGGAGTGGACGGGCTGGGGAAGGCGCCTGCTGGAGAGCTTACTAACGTCCTGCGATATCCGTCATCCACGGGGCGAGGCGGAGATATCCCGCGTTTGGGCCCAAGCCTCCCTACCTGTATCCCTCGGAGGGCTGGGGCTGGCTGACCCTGCAGTCGAGGGACGCTATAGTTTCCTGGCCAGCTTCACGCAGGCCCAGCAACTGCTTGATTCGCTCAACGGCGACAGCATTGGCGCACTGGCGGAAACTCGGGTGCAGATGCGCGGCCCCTACACCGACTCGTCGCCGCTGGCTGGATGGTTAGCAGAATGCGAGGAAAACTTACCCCTACCAGCACAAGAGCTACTACAATCGGAACGAGCTGCCCCGTCCACAGACAAGCTGCAGCATGGGCTGGCCATTGCAGTGCAGGGCCAACGCTACGCGGTCCAGGTGGAGGCCGTACGCGCAATGAGGCCTAACCCTAATAACGGCCACACCCAGCGGCTGCTTTCCTTGAGCGGATATGGGGCGGGGGATTGGTTAAACGCAGTGCCGCTGAACCGTGCGCTTCGCCTAGAAGCCCCTCACTACGCCAACGCACTTCAGTTTCGGCTGGGGCTGCCCTTTGCGGCTCCCGGGGTATGCAACTGCACGGACAGGGTGGCAATCCCCGATAAACGCCTCCCCAATCATCTGCTGCGATGCGGTACAGGGGGGGGACGAATCAACACACACAACGAGTTACGCGACGAGTGTGTGCGCATGGCGCAAGACGCCGGTTTTATGGTGCACAAAGAGACGGCCGCTTTCAGCCCCGTCGAGGAGAAAACTGCCGACCTGGCCATACGCGACCGAACGACGGGCAAGGTGTGGATCTGTGATGTCACAGTTACTGATCCAATTAGCACCCGTGATGAGAATGCTGTAAAAGGGCGGGGCTGGGCAGCACAGGAAGCAGCAGCCAAAAAGGTCGACCTCTACAGAGACCGCCCGAACGAGGTGGAGTTTTTCCCTCTTGCCGTCAAGACGTACGGATGCCCGTGTTCGGAAGTCGTCGACTTCCTTAAACTGCTGGCGGAAAAGGCCGCCCGCCACCACTTCAATGCAGAGCCCACTTCTTACCAAGCCGCAAAAAATCTGCACCAATACCGCCAGCGATGGTCGGTGGCGCTGCAGCGTGGGCAATCCGTCGGCTACCTATCGAAGTGCAACCTGGCGGCGGCAATAGAGAATCCCCTGGTGGAGGCTCCTGGTGAGGCCCCGTCCCTCGGGGACTGCCTCACCGTCCTTGAGCCCGCCCTGGACCTCCCCTAGGTGGGGAGGGGCTAGAGGGGAGGCAGAAGGTCTAGTTCTGAGTTAGATGATTGCATGCGTGGCTTGTTTTGACTGCTTGGATGTCAGCTTATGCCTATACTCTGCATGTCTGTAATCCGCCGCCTACATCAATGAAAGGACCATTAGAGAGAGAGAGAGAGAGAGAGAGCGAGAGATGGAGAACGAGAGAGGGAGATCGAGAGAGGGAGAACGCGAAAGGGAGAACGCAAGAGAGAGAACGGCAGAGGGAGAACGCGAGGGAGAGAACGAGAGAGAGAGAACGGAAGAGAGCGAACGTGAGAGAGAGAACGGGAGAGAGAGAGCGGGAGAGAGAGACAGAGAGAGAGAGAGAGAGAGAGAGAGAGAGAAAGAGAGAGAGAGAGAGAGAGAGAGAGAGAGAGAACGAGAGAGAGAGAGAGAGAGAGAGAGAGAGAACGAGAGAGAATGGGAAAAAGAGAGAGAGCGAGAGAGAACAAGAGAGAACAAAATGGACTAAACATGCAGCCTATTATAATCGTTATGTACAACCTAAGACGAGGTTGAAAAAAAAAAAAACTGAAAACATGCAATTATGAAGAAAAGGAAACCGACGAAATGAAAACTAACGATGAAGAATAGAAGATACGGATGCAAGATTATACAGGAAGAAACGAAATCTAAAAAAAAAAAAAAAAAAAAAAAAAACGAGAACTTGAAATTTCTACGAAGGGCCTAGATCCTAAGTTTAAACGACTAAGTCTAGCTAATAGTAAACCGTTAGGATACGAGATAACTAAATGTTAGTCTTATCTAATAAGCATCTAACTTAATTGGAGTTAGAGCTAAATGTTCTCACCTTAGTTGGAGTTAGACTAGGCTGAGTTGGTAGAGCGTGACCAGCGAGAAGAAGAGAGGGAGGGAAAAGAAGAGACCCACCAAACACTGAGGGTGTTGGTGTTCATCGCGTCTTAATATTACAAATAGATTTAGTTTCGCATTGAAACGTCTGTGGTGTCGCAGTCGGTAAGATTTCGACTCTCATCGAAAAGGACTAGGGTTTGATTCTTACAAGGCGCAATTTTGTAAACTTAAAATTGAGTAACATACTCGGTATAAAAGTTAAGGCATCCATCCGAAACAAGATCTATACTTGGTGTTATAAGTCGTACAATATGTGTTAACTTTGCAAAGCGCTTCGCAACCCTAAGACGATCTCGTCGCCTCTTGTTTTGTTTGGAATGTATGTGCCCGAGTAGCTTGCAGCTTGCAATTCGTGCCATCGTCCTCGCACTGTACTCCCATGTGAAAACCGTTTCGCGCCTTGTTTTGCTTTGGCAGAAAATTTTCTTGCCAGTGCCACACAATCCCAACCAAGCCAGGAACGTACCCCTTGACGCACCTGCTCCAGGTTTCTTGAATCCAAGCACCCCACGCTGCTCTCTTTACTTCCTCCCTCCCTATTACGACTCCCTACCAACTATTCTTCCAGTCGCCTCTCCTCACTCCAACGTCGCCTCACTCAACAACGTCGCCTCTCCCTCACTCCCCACCGTGGCGTCTCCCTCCCTCCCCATCATAGCCTCTCCCTCGGTCCCCTCCGTCGCTCTCCCTTCCTCCTCGCCGTCGCCCTCCATCCCTTCCCGCCGTCGCCTCTGGTGGGTGCACGAGCGCGAGCGCGGGCTGCTGCGCGACCGCGCGTTTTGTGAGGCACCGTCGTTTCAGGTGCGTTTTCGTTTCCTGGACCTTTTTTCCTCTCCACTCCCTCCAAAGTTTCATTTTTCTCCTACTTTTTTCCGTAAGTTCTTTTTGCCGGTTGGTCCTAGTGCGCTGGCGCCTAACGCGCTGGCGCCTAACGCGCTGGCGCCTAATGCGCTGGCGCCTAACGCGCTGGCGCCATGCGCGCTGGCGCCATACGCGCTGGCTCCTAACGCGCTGGCGCCATGCGCGCTGGCGCCATGGGCGCTGGCGCCATGCGCGCTGGCGCCATACGCGCTGGCGCCATGCGCGTTGGCGCCATACGCGCTGGCGCCATGCGCGCTGGCGCCTAACGCGCTGGCGCCATGCGCGCTGGCGCCATGCGCGCTGGCGCCATGCGCGCTGGCGCCATGCGCGCTGGCGCCATGCGCGCTGGCGCCATGCGCGCTGGCGCCATGCGCGCTGGCGCCATACGCGCTGGCGCCATGTGTGGACTTGGTGCCAAAACTTCTCCACTACCACTTCTGCTCTCTTTCCTTTCTGCTGCAGGTGATGCCTTCTGTGCATGCTAATGTGGTATATTTTATTCGTGATGCCTTGGATTCGAGTTTTAAGCCACACGTGTGAGACTTCAAATTAGATTTGCCTTCAATATTAATCTTCTATCGATTTACTGCACTGCTAGTAACAACCCTTTTCATCATGCTTTACTATTTCTACTGCAGCGCGCTGGCGCCTTGCTGCGGTGCGCTGGCGCCTTGCTGCGGTGCGCTGGCGCCTTGCTGCGGTGCGCTGGCGCCTTGCTGCGGTGCGCTGGCGCCTTGCTGCGGTGCGCTGGCGCCTTGCTGCGGTGCGCTGGCGCCTTACATAACTCACTGAATTCACTCACGGCAATTTTTATTTTATTTCAATTTATTTTGCGTGGCCTGTATGTTTTTCAGGATATGCGAGCCACATCGCGGGGGGCAGAGAAGGAAGGCGAGGGAAAGATGTGGAAATGCGCGGGATGAAGAGGGAAAGGGGAACAGGATAGGAACCGGGGGCAGGCTAGCAGTGATTGTTGATATTCAACTACTTGCCACTCCTTGTTTGCTCTCTCTATCCTCTTTGTATGTATGTGTATATACATGTGTGTCCGTGCGTGGGTCTTTGTGCGTGTGTGTTTATGCGTGTGTGTAAGTTCAACAAGTCATTCATGTCAGTTGGTTGTGATTGTTTCAAGGTGTGGTGCTGGTGTGCATCATGTTTGCAGCTGGGGTTGTCATCGTCGTTGGGGCAGCGTGTTTTCGCTGTTTCAACGACCCCATCAATCTCAGTTGTAGCATTGGTGTATATCAACCATCCACCTTGATGCGTTCACAACCGTTCCGTGGTGTCGTACATTTTTACGTGTGTGTGCATTCGTTGTGGGATGTTTGTTTCAAAGTGTGGTGTCATTATGTGTTATGTATGCAATTTGAGGTTGTTAATCCTCTTTGGGGCAGCGTGTTTTCGCTGTTTCAACGACCCCATCAACCTCTGTTGCTACATAATGCATTTTAGCATTCACTATGAAGCAATCGCACCACCTCATACCTTGTTGTTCATTTGTACAATTGCATTCGTTCATATTGATGCCAGAATATGATGCTCGGTGTCAAACAATATGTTTAATATATACCCTGCGTGCTGTAGTTACTGTAGTTATTATTATTAAGAGTTGGTGGTGCACCTTCTTTGTTGCTTTGCTATATGTACCTTGTGTGCTATAGTGAAACTTCCTTTCCTTGCCTAAACTCTCTCGACACTTTCTCCTCTACACCCAAGCATGGCTCCTCACCTCTAGCTACTATCTTGACATGGTACAGAGCTGGTTCTTTCCCGGAACCTTCTCTTTTTTTTAAGAATCATGGGCCCGCCCGTACTACAGCGCGAAATGCGCTATTTTTTTTTTTTTTCTCCCCGTTCGCCCGTCGCGCGCGCCCTGCCCGTCCCCCCGAACGTGCCACGTCGGCTGCCTCGCGGACGCCCCGTCGGCTGCCCCGCGGACGCCCTGCCCGTCGCCCGCTGCCTCGCGGACGCCCCGTCGGCTGCCCCGCGGACGCCCTGCCCGTCGCCCGCTGCCTCGCGGACGCCCCGTCGGCTGCCCCGCGGACGCCCTGCCCGTCGCCCGCTGCCCCCCCGTTTCGTCGCCACGCGGCCCCCATTTCATCGCCACGCAGCCCCCGTTTCGTCGCCCCCGTCACCCCGCAATCCGCCAGCGCGGAGGCCAGCGCCGCGGCCAGCCGCCAGCGCCAGCAGCAGCTACCGCCGCCCCCCCCCCCCCCCCGCCCTCCCTTCCGCGGCTTCCGTCGTGGGGAGGGGGGAGGGAGGGGGAAGGGGTTGTGGGGGGGGAGCGGGTGTGAGGAGCCTGCCACTCCTCCCTCCCTTCCCTCTTCCTCTCTCCCTGCAGCAACTGTTGCTGGAGGGGGGGGGGGGAGAGAGAAGTGCAGAAGGGTGAGGGGGTGGCGGGAGAAGACAGGTGCGGCGGGTGTGAGGAGCCTGCCATCCCTCCCTTCCCTCTTCCTCTCTCCCTGCAGCAACTGTTGCTGTAGGGGGGGGGGGGAGAGAAGTGCAGAAGGGTGAGGGGGTGGCGGGAGAAGACAGGTGCGGAAGGTGTGAGGTTGACGGGGTTGAGTGACGAGGGGGGTGAGGACTAGGGGGTTCTTAACGGGGGGGGATCGCATTGAGCGTGCGCGCTCATGCCCGCCTAGCCCACCTCCTCTCCTCATCGGGACTTGGGGGTTCTTAACGGGGGGGGATCGCTATGAGCTTTCGCGCTCAAGCCCGCCTAGCCCACCTCCTCTCCCTTCCCTCTCTCACCTCCCCTTTGTAAAAGGAGGTTCGTAAGCGGGTCCGCCGGTCCTGGCCCCCCACCTCCTCTCCTCTCCTCTCCTCTCCTCTCCTCTTCTCTCCTCTCCTCTCACCTTCCTCACTTCTCTGCCTTCTTCCACAGCGCTTGGTTTGCTCGTTCAGGGGGTGCTGGCTGCACCAGTTTCTACTGCACGCAGGCTAAGGGGGTGTGTCAAACAATATGTTTAATATATACCCTGCGTGCTGTAGTTACTGTAGTTATTATTATTAAGAGTTGGTGGTGCACCTTCTTTGTTGCTTTGCTATATGTACCTTGTGTGCTATAGTGAAACTTCCTTTCCTTGCCTAAACTCTCTCGACACTTTCTCCTCTTCACCCTAGCATGGCTCCTCACCTCTAGCTACTATCTTGACACTCGGCCGTACCATCCGCCGTATTAATCGACGATGCTGGGGCGGTCGAGCAAATTCATGGTTTCAACATGATACGTACGTGCATATTTGGTTTCACATTTATGGGTATGTCATTCAAGAGTGATTTTATTCACTATTTGAGGCATCCTTTTGAACACACTTTCAAAATGTTCAAAGGGGTGCTTCAAAGTGTGTCTAAAAATTGTTGGAAATAGTGAATCTTAAGCGCTTCAGTCGTGTCGAAACATCGCACCAGAAGCGAAGCAAGCTGTATCGAAACAAACGCGAGTCAACCTTCGGAGGTTGAGAAGTTGCCGGAGGTTACGCGAAAGTCAAAGGTCAAGCGACCTTTGACCTGACAAATACAGCGCGACAGTTAAGGACACACAACTGACTCGTTACAGAGCAGTTGCCCGAGTCGTACTGTATCAAACCGCAACAGCAACAGTAAAGAAGTTACAAACTGCATCCTTTCATATTCCTTGTATTATTATATAATCTTGTACTTCCTTGCTATAATCAATCTACTTTGCCCTCATATACCAGCGCAAGGTGGTTCACAAACTTTGTTAAACGCTTCCGCTATTACAACACTATCCCACCCAGAAATCTCCCTTGAAAAGATCCTAAGGGGCTATCTCAGCCCAACATGGTATGAGAGCAAACAGGGGAAACTCTACTACCTTCAAATCATTACAAGACATGGCAACAAGCAAGGAAAGGAGCTCATCTAACGGCTCCCCAGGCACTACTCCTACTCCACCTCCTGCCTCTGGCCTGCAGACAGAGGAAGGCACGGCAACAAGACCAAGAATGACATCTACTGAGACTCCCGCAAATCACCCCGCGAACTTCGACCCGAGTATAATGGAGAAGTTCTTCTCCTTCATGTCCTTCTACGAGCAGCACCAGCAGTCGGGACCTGCACAATCACACAACAGCAACAACAACGGAGCGACACCCATGAGCCTCGACGGGTCGTCATATGCACGCGGAAACCAACAGCAGCAACCTACCTTCGCCCCGTACGAGCGCGGGTCGATCAGCTTCATGCCGCAATCTTCACCTGCACAAGACAAGCCACTGGACGCGTTACAAGTGCAATCACAGTTCGCGCACGTTCTAAAACTGCAGACATCAAGACCTTTCGACGGAAAGGACTTCTTTACTTGGTCATTCGAGTTTGAGTTAATGATGGAAGGCGCGCAGATACTCGGCTTCTTCGACGGGTCCCTGCAATATCCAGCAAACGGCACACAGTATGAGAAGCAGCAGTACACGTATCAATCGATGATGGCGTATACGATTCTGCTGAGGAACGTCACACCAACTCAGCAGCAGAACATACGCTCTTACCGGGGTTACGGCAACTCCGCTGAGCTCGCGTACAGCCACCTGAAGAGCCTGTATCAAGCAACAGACAGCGTAAACCAAAGCAAGTTAATGGCGCAGTTGACAACAGTTGAAATGAAACCGGGAGAAAAGGGGATGACGTATATCAGCCGATGTCGCGAACTGCGCGACAAGCTTCTTCGATGCGGAGGATCGATCTCCGAGGACGCCTTCGTGACAGTCATCATTGGTGGTCTCGGTCCCCAATGGCGCGCCACCAAAGCTATCCTCCGAGCCCACGGCAGAATTTCTGAAGCAGCACTCTGCGCCGAAATCCACGCCGAGCAGCAGGACATGGACCTGCAAGAAGAACGACACAGAAAGAAGACGACAACATCAGAGTTCGCGTTTCACACTCAACGACGTCACAACAACTACAACAATCGACAGCAACAACCGAAGCCAGTACCTCCTTTCTGCCACATCTGCAAGACTTCAGGGCACCCGCGCACACATTGCCCAAACCGTCAACAGTCAACAACTCCGCAGCGGCATCTACGGCCTTCAAGCAATCAAGTTGCGTCAACACAGGCGAACCCGACGACTCAAATTCAAGCTTCAACGACCTCAACGGGACAACCTGCACAAGAAACAAGAAATATCGTTAGCTGCATGGCAAGACTGAGTGACTCTTGCGTCACGGAATCACCACCATACTACTCACCAGAAGAACAGCTCGATGAAACGACACCTCGCCGCGAAGCACTTCAACCGAATCCAACCTACGCAGCCATCGCCCAAAACGAGCCATCCGGAAAAGACACGTGGTTCTTGGACAGTTGCTGCGGGCAACACATGTGTTCTTCAGGACGCTTCGTGCAGCGAGAGTACCAACTTCAACGGGAAGCTGTCATCACCGTCGCCAACAATCAGAACCTGCGCACACGACGACAAGGAGTTGTTCAACTTCAGTCACGAGAGACAAATGTTATTTTGCAGATGTCCAAGGTCCTAATCGCAGAGGGCTTGGGCTACAACTTACTGAGCGTCAGTCAGTTGATGGCGAAAGGCATTCATCTTGAAGCAGACAGCACAACTCAAGAGTTCAAGCTGTACCACGGAAGGGGAGGTCTCTACATCGGGAAGGCGGTCCTCAAGAACAACGTCTTCGTTCTCGACTTCGTTCCCGATCTTGGCACGGCCGACAGCGACGCCATCGTAAACTTCACCAACTGGACACATCCTCCAGATCTTGATCCAGACTTCAGTCCGAGCGGTTTCTGGTACTCGCACACCATTTCT